GGGGGGTCCGGTCCCAGCCGCTGCAGCGCGGTGCGCGCGAGTCGCTCAGAGTAGCCCAGCTTTACCGCGAAATCAATCTTTGCCTGATGAATGTTAAATGTAGTTATGGTAATGATTTTTTAAATATGCTAAGATTACGGCATCTTTATACTACACAGTACAAAGAAATATTTGAGAGTAAAAAAAGATCTCTTGCATTTTAAAGTATTTAAAACCAAAATACTTGTCTTATCTAGTATCCTAAGCAAGTTCGATCGATTACTTTATTAATGATCCGTAATTCTCGAATCAGAATTTTAGAATTGCATCTAAATATTTAAATTAAAATACTCCGACCATTAGAAAATTATTAGTGTTTCCAAACCAAGGCCATGAAGTGACATCTCGTAGAAGATTTAAATAAATTAAGCATCTAAATCTAAAGAAGTGAAAGTGAACATGTGATATGCGAGACATTGCAAAGGTATATTATTACTACTCGAAACTTACGTCATATATAAGATATAGTTTGGCTATTTTAATTCTATATGTAAGCTAGTAATTAAATCTTATCTTAATTTCTAACGACAAGTTCTACCTACTATATAAAGATGATTATTTGACGACCAGTGACGCACGTGCCGTATTTTCTTGATATACGAGTGCGTCAGTAACACAGTTCCGCTCATAAACAACTAGATAAGTTTCTACGTCTAGTGTTATCACAGATGCGTGAAAAAGATTGACCTATTTCCTCTCTGACATTGAAAACTTACAGACTTATGTAGATCTGTCGAACACACTATATTTAGGTTAAATTTTCTCTGCATGAAAAGTGTAACTAAAAGCGTTCTTAATAAAGAATTGGTTAACAGATATATCAGTTAAATATGTGATGTAGATGATTTTGAAGTTATTGCTTTCAGTGTAAATTCGTTGTCTAGAATTTACGGATAGATGGAAAAAAGTGTTTTAAAATGATTCCATTCAGCTAATGCTAATCGTATTTAATAAGTCCGGGGGTACATCGTTTATACTTTCTTTCCTTATTTAGCATTTAATACTAGCCAAATAATAATAACTTACTAATATTATAAATGCAAAAGTTTGGATGGATGGATGTTTGTTAGAGTTTGTAGTCTAAACGGCTCACCAGATTTCATCGAAAAAAAAATTAGGTATAAATGTAGAGGATAGTCTGGAAGAACACATAGGCTACTCACTTTTGGTTGTTTTAATTCTACGCGGACGGAGTCGCGGTACAAATCTAGTCATATCATACAATTCAAGTACCTAATTATAAAAAAGTAACGTTCCTTTATAGTTTTACGTTCAAACAAGAGTCAAGACACAGGTTTATTGGTAGGAGTAAACTTTAGGTATACCCGAGTAGTTGAATCAAGAATCAGGACTATTTAAAAATGTCAGATAAAACATTCAAATTAGCGTATCAAGTCGATAGATAACCTCTCGGAATTGAATTGACCTCTGCATATGAGAGTGAATTATTCAAAAGGTACATTTATTCTATGGCCAGTCTGAAATAGCAAACATCTCGTGAATCGAGGACGCATCAATTAGCGATGCAACCTGAATACGCCCCATGTAATCAGTTTACCGCTGAATTATGGCAACACTGATACTAGTTTATGCAGAGTTAACTAAACTCTGTTATCTTATAAACGGGCTATGGTATGCCTAAGAAAATATTGAGCCCTTTAATTTTTAATATAAAAATATATTTTCATACTGACTTAACTACCCAATTTTAACAAATTCGCCTTGCAACACTTGTCATACAAAGAGCACGCGTTGTTCAGCTGCTTGGCCACAAAAAATCATTTAATGAATTCGTGTAAAACCGGTTAAAACCAGAAACTACGGAACCATAGCAGTTGCATGTCCGATACGTATAATTAAAAAAAATAAATTGCCACAAAAGATTGCGTCGATGGTATGGATATTTTTTCAATTAGATTTGCATATTTTGAAAAAATATATCGCATAGCAATGAATTTTCACGGTTTCTTAAGTTTACCTACAATAACTACTAATATCTCGATTTGTTATTTCTTTACCTGGTTAGGCTGTGGTGGTGGCGCTAGTGTGACGTACTCCGCGAATTCTGCCGCGAGCGTGTCCGATGGCGTGCGGGAGGCGGTCCGATGCCCTCCATCATCGTCGCACTCCGAGTCATAACTGGAATCCTCACCGCGCTCGCCCGACCAGCCCAGGGATGACTCCACATATTTCTGGTAACAAAATAAAACAATTGTTAACTGTGTATCAATATCAATGAATTATTTAAAAGAAATCGATATAAGAACTTGACTTGTAATGTACAGGTCTTGGGTTCGAGTCCCGCCATAATGTGATTTTTGAATTTCATAGGTATGTACATAATTTACCCGACGTTCTAACGATGAAGCAAAACATCGTGATGCAACACATATCGGCGTAGAAAATCAAAGATATGTGTGTTTGACTAGGGCCTTGTCACCCCTTAATTAGGACATACTTCTAGCTCCATAGATAAAAAAATATATCCTATATCAATGCGTGGGGACGGTGTGTGACTTATACTGAGCTGGTGCTAATTATTTAATGATAAATGACAATCGCAAGTTATTTACAACCGAAATTAGCAAATGTGATGTTTCATTAAAAGTTTAAATTTTAGTTTAAAATTATAATTACGATGATATTAAAGCAGTAGACAGGATACATCGTTTCGTTTGCCCTTGACACACCTTTTTGTTGATTAATTTGTTCATTCGGCTATTTGATCTCTTCCTCCTCCGTGTAGTGTTATAATCATTTTATTTCGTTATCATAATAAAATAAATATTTTTTTATTACTGAATTATAAGATTGGACATTGAGGTTATGAAAATAAATTTAAATACAAAACTGCAGTACGTGTTGAACATATTCGGTATTCATATTTCGTAAGAAGAGTTTGAAATACGCATTCCATCACCAATAATATTGATATTTTATCACTCTTATTATTTCCAAAACTATAAGGTTTAAAAACATTATAATCGGGATAAACTAATTACTAAAAACAATTAGTAACTCTCAATGAAATATGACCTCGAGTCCCACGCTTCTACCTTCAAGATTGTGTTGTTTTTAGGACCACTCAATAAAAACAAATGATTGTAATATATAAAAGTAAGATAACTAAAAAAAGCTGTTATGGTCGACGATAATGAAGTGTGGTTTTAGTGAGTCAATAGATACTATCTCAATATAAATTGATTCAAATTAATTTAAGCGTTCAAAGGATAATTTAGTTGAAATATAAATTTACTTGAAATGGAATATGCACCAGTGCTGCCAATGATAATAGCAAAGCAAACATCGATAATATTCTAAAATCAACCAGACATAAACTGGGTTCCACGGCTATAATTTGATCACATATCTACATACTATGTAGGACAACAATGAACGAAATGTTATTCCACTAACGGTAAAACAAGCGAGAGGAATCCCGTTACTAAAACGTTTAGACGTCTTGGTCTCCTGCATTTGAATAGACCAAAATAGAGGTTGAATTCATTCAATCGTGTCATTGATGTAAATACTGTTGACATCCGCGTCTCCAAAGATATTGCACACGTAATAGGAACTATTGGTACAATGTCCTTGCTTACGAACGAAATGTGACAACACTAAAAGAATATAATTCTCTATGATTACGATGATTTTGATACTATAGTGACAATGACAAAGGACATCTAGAAAGCCGGTAAATCATCTAACGCAGGATATCCAACTGTTTCATTTACACTGTGAGTAATAAACAAGACATTTGCTTAGACAAAATCTAACCTTAATATCTCACAGTGCAAGTGTTTCCTCATATTCATGACGATCAGTTCCAACCAATAACTCATTTTATTAATTGCATAATTTGTCAGATTGTAAAACATCTTAGAGGCGGAGAAGGAAATATCGTTTCGTGATATTGAACGATGCGACTTGAAAATGTCAGAGTTTAATTTATGAGATTAGTTGCATAGTTTTTGGACGTGCCGATGTTAATCAAATAGCATCCTCGTGACATTTAAGCGTAATCATCTATTTTGAATATCAACTTCTTAGATATATGTAATTTGTAAATGCCATTAACTTTTAACTTAGAAAAATTTTTAACAATCCGACTTCGGCTGTATGTTTTGAACCTTGAATGCAGTCTTTTGTTTTTGATCATTTCTAAGAACCGTTAGCTAAAATGTTAGGAACCGATAGATAAAGCGATATCAGTAAATGTGTAAATATAATATGTAGTATGCTGTATGCGGTTGTTGCGGCGCTTCGCTCGTGTAGGACAGGGTCACGAGGGCGTCGAAGCGGATCTACCTGATGATCATTGACCTTTGCCGTGTTCACAACTCTCGATCGTTAACGTACCGCTCGTTATTCATTCCAACAATCAAAATCCGCAAAAGTCTCACCCACACGCCGCACAT